TTTGTTAGCAGTATGCAACATTATGACAGGATACAGTAGAGGAAAGTCTGTTCTCATTCGCTGATTTAACAAATACAGTGGGCAATGGATTTAAGTTTCTGGGCAAGGCATGCACGTGGGATTGGGGGAAGAACTTCTTTATGCAATGAGTGGCAATGGCCTGGAACTTAATGCCATGAATGGGTGATTGTGGAGATGATCAATGATTTCAAAAAGGAATGGAATGGCCTCTTACCGGAAGTAATTAAAATTTCAAGGCTAGGGGAAAGGAATGGGATGGTGGGACTGATTAGGTCACTGTACAGAGAACATAGACTTAATGGGACAAATGGCCACCTCCTGTGTCTTATTGATTCTGAGCACATTTTCATAAATTAAATCTGACTTTTCATGTCTTGAGAACAAATCAAAAGAAAAACTGCCACACGCTCAATACTGCAAACCTTTAACTTCCTTAATCATCACCAATTCTTTCTGTGTTTATCTGCAAAATGACAGTGACTGCACTGAAAAGGTAGTTGATTGCATGTGCAGTGCTTTGGGAGGTGCTTACCATGTGCTGAAGCACAATGACTTGTCTCAATGGCAGAACTCAGATACCTGCGTTAGAGCGTGGCAATTTGTCTACGTTCCAGTATGACTCTGAGCAAGTGACAGATCCACTGAGGTTTCATGCTTTTCCATTAATCTAAATGATCCCTCTGTGGTACTTGAAGATGGCTGAGAATTAGGAAACGGAGATTAACGGTTAATTCTTTTCCAGGCAGGAAGAAGTTTTGCAGTGGAAATCTTATGTATATAACACACACACGCATATATTAAAAAAAATTCTATTTATTTATACAAATCATTACATCTTGGTATGTAAGGGACGCTTTCAATATTTGTGGATGACACAAAACTTGGAAGAATTTTAAACTGTCAGGAGGACCGTGTAGAACTTCAAAGGGCATTGGCACATTGGTGAAGTAAGAAAATAGGTGGCAGATGAAGTTCAATGGGGAGGTTACATTCTTTGGCACAAAGAATGTGGAGAGGCAGCATGAAATAAAGGATATCATTGCCATTCTAAAGAGTGTGCAGGACTAAAGAGACCTGGGTGTATATGTCCATAAGTCATTAAAAGTGGCAGGTTAGGCAGAGAGAGCTGTCAATAAAGCAGACAATTCTTTAGCTTTTATAAATACTGCATAGATTACCAGAGCGGGGAGGTTATGGTAAACATCTATAAGACACTGGGTCGATCTCAGCTGGAGTACCGTGTACGGTTCTGGGTGACACATTATGTAAATGTATTAGAGAAAATGCAAAAATGATTTATGAAAATGCTTCCACGTTTCAGTGATGAAAAAAGATAGAGACAATGGGACTTTCTCAACTTTCTGTGAGGAAAACAGCCCAGCTTCTCCACTAAAAGCAAAGTACTGCAGATGCTGGAGATCTGAAATAAAGAAAGTGTTGCAGAAACTCAGCAGATCTGGCAGCACCTGTGGAGAGAGAAACAGTCAAATTTTCAATAAGATTTCTTTCGTCTATAACTGAACTCACTCATTACTGGAACATGGATCTTTTCTGCAATTTCTCCACATCCTTATTGGGGTTCATTGCTTAGAAATGGACAAGGAACTCCTGTTAAGAGCAACCCAATGTTTTATCAAGGTTCTCCACAGCTTCCTTGCTTTTGTACTCTGTCTGCATTAAGAAAATCCAGGATCTTGAGTGCCTTTTTAACCATTTACAACCTGCAGAAAATGCTGGGGAAACTCAGCAGGTCTAGCATCATATGTGGAGCAAGAAACAGAGTTACTCTGTTGAGTCCAATATGACTCTTACTCAGAATTATCAAACTCGATACAATAACTCTGTTTCTATGCACAGATGCTGCCAGGTCTGCTGAGTTTGTCTTGCGTTTTTTTTTAATTTTTATTTCAGAGTTTTACCATCCATGGTATTTGGCTTTTATTTGCCACCTTCAATAATCTATCCTTAGGTCTGTCTGCTGCTGCTGCTAACCTTTTAGAATTGTGCTCTTTACATTGACTTGCCGTGTTCTTCTCCACAGTGGATATCCCTTCACGTCTCCCTACGTTAATTATTTTTTCAGTTAATTGTCCACCCATTTCTCCAACCTGTTTATGTCCTTTTTGTGTCTATCCTAAACTTAATATTTTCAAATTTAGTCTCATCTGCAAATTTTGCAAGTGTGCCCTGTGCACCAAGCCTAGGATTTTCACACACACCAAGAGAAGAAGTGGTCCTAGTACCGACTGCTGGGTAATACCACTGTATACCTTCCTCCAGGCTGAGAAGCAACCATTCACCACCACTCTCTCATTTAAGAACAAGCTTAATAACAACGAAGTGTACAGGATAGAAGGATATACCGAAAGGCTCAGTGGCACAAGCTCGTGTGGTGCACTGACACCAGCATGGACAAAGTGGGCCAAATGGCCTGTTTTTATGCTGTACATTCTGTGTAAACAGGCTGATGTGCTGAGAATGATAAAAGCCTGTGTGCTCAAAGAACTCCTCAAAGGTATACTTAAAGGTCAGGTACATCATTTGATGTTGTGTTCATATCTGCTAATGATTGAAGTCTTGAATTAGCTAAGTCTCTCTTGAATGGTGAAGTCTGTATTTCTTAAAATGTTGACCCCTCAGCATCAGCTGGCATTTACAATTTGTGTTTGCAATGGCTCCTGTCATTATTGTATGCTCGAAATTGATGAACAATTGAGAGATCATAACCTTTGGCACAATGTTGAAGATACAATGACGATTAACCAAGTGGCTCAGAAAGGGAGAATATTTCATTTTCATATTAAGTCCAATAAAAGGCCTGGCAGGAAGTCTAGATAATGAGGACATTTGCATTAATTCTTTTATAGGATGTGATTGTCACTCGCTAGGTTAGTATTTGTTAATCATCTCTAATTGCCCTTGAGAAGGTAGCAGTGAGTTGCCTTCTTGCATAGCTGCAGTCCCTGCAACACCCAGTGTGTTACTAGGAAGGGATTCCAGACTTTTAACCTAATGACAGATTGACCCAGATGATTTGCTAACAGTTGGATCATCATTGCAATACCTACAGCTATTATGGAGCAAAGATGCAGCCAGTGATGGTATGAGTCAGTGTTGTCACCTTTGCAAATGCTGTCATGTGCTGTGAATGGCGCTCAAAATACAAAACCACTTAGTCTTAGAATTGTACAGCATGGAAACACACCCTTTCGCCCAACTAGTCCACGCCAACCAGATATCCTAAATTAATATAGTCTCATTTGCCAGCATTTGGGCCATATCCCTCTAAATCCTTCCTATTCATATACCCATCCAGATGCCTTTTAAATGAAGTAATTGTACCAGTCTCCACCACTTCCTCTGGCACCACCCTCTGTATGAAAAAGGTTGTCCCTCATCTCCCTTTTAAATCTTTCCCCTCTCACCTTAAACCTATGTGCTCTAGTTTTGGACACCCCCACCCTGGGAGAAGACCTTGGCTGCTCAGCCTATAATCTTCTATAAGGTCTCCCCTCAGCCTTTGACACTCCAGGGAAAATAGCCCCAGCCTATTCAGCCTCTCCTTCTAATTAAAACCCTCCAACCCTGGCAATGTCCTTGTAAATCTTTTCTGAAGCCTTTCGTTTCACAACATCTTTCCCATAACAGGGAGACCAGAACTGAATGCATTCCAAAAGCAGCCTCACCAATGTCTTGTACAGCCTCACACAACAAGACCTCTATTTCAACAGCAATTGCTTGCTGGGTATCACTCTTACACCTGTTCTTTTGAATTCTTTTAATCTTCCATTTCTTCTTGTCTTTTAGTCCTCAAGGCTAACCTTCCTATCTGATTCTTGTAGACTTTTTTTTGTTAGCTGTCCTACTACTTCCTTCTAAAAATCCTTGTGCCAGATTTTGGATCTGCACCAGATATTCTTTCCTATTCCTGACACCGGGCCACTCAATAAGTGGATCCCATTCCCTTTATGCTCGATGTTTATGTTTACTGTCCAATATGTAGAAATGCAATAATGTGAAAACTTCTATATCATTACATGCACACCTCCAATATTCCCAGAAGTAGACTAATTCATCCTTCAATGATATGAGGCAAGGTAGTTTATTTTACAAATCTTCAAGATCACAATGCTCCTCCATTCTCTGTTTTAAATCGTTCCACTGCTGACAACTATCCTTTCATCTGCCTGGGTCCTAAGCTCTGGAATTCTCACTCTAAGCATCTTATTAGGTTAAAGGTACTGTAGCATCTTTCACAACTTTAGGATGCCCTAAAGTATTTTAATTTTAAATACATTTAAATACTTTTGAAGTGTACTCCCTGTTGTAGGAGATTGTGGCAGTCAATTTACGCACAGCAAACACCCAAAAACAACAATATGATAACAAAATAATCTGTTTTAGTGATGTTGATTGAGGGGTAAGTATTGTCCAGGAGACAACAGTGAGCTCCCCTACCCTCCTTCAGGATAGAACTTTGTGTTCACCTGAAAGGGCAGATGGTGCCTCAGTTTGATGTGTGTTTCATAGTCAACAACTCTTTTGATACATTCCTGTCTTAAATTGGGAATCAAGAGTCCTGATTCTGAATAGATGCTTTCCATGACCCCCAGCACTTGTATTCTAAACAGTTTAACCTGAGAACAAACAATAACTATAAAGTGACATTTTAGAATAAGTTATGCCATGGCAAAACATTAGAAATTCTGGAAACTTTACATTCCCATCCCTTTTGATGTGACTAAGAAATTGTATTCTGCTGCCAACACCGATGTGCTTCTTCATGCATTTAGGTCTGCACTGAAGCTGACCATAGAAAATTGGGAAGTATATCTCTCCCCCTCCCGAGTCTGTTCATTTTGAGCTGCATTCATATTGAAAAATTGTGTGTGTGCGCGCACGCACGGACACGTCTTGATGTTGTAGAATTTCTGATTTCTTTCTAATATCTAAGGATTGGTCTGTTTTTGTTTTCATAGGTGACTGTTGATAAATGGGAACCATTAATGAATAATCTGGGACATGTATGTAGAAAACTCAAGTGAGTATTTCCCTTACAAAAATAATGTGTTCACGAGACTCAGTTCTCACAATTAAATGTCCATTTGTTTCATTGGCTCTGATGCTGTGTTGTGTGCATGTGTGATTCACAATAGAGAACCTGTAAACAGAGAATATGAAAGCGTTTCTTTGCTTTATTATAATGCAGAATAATGAATGAGGGGTACAAGAAAGAAGAGTGTGGTACTTACGTTAGTGGACTGGAGAAGGCCGTTGACTTTCTTCCAGCACTGTTGGTTGTTACTCCATATGGTGACCTGGGTGGCACCTCAGGAATTGGGTGGTGACCTCTGACCAGGATCTGCTGACGTGGCCTTCTCTGCCGTTCCTCAGAGAAAGGGATGACCCTCCTCTGCGCCATCCCAGCTGCCATGACCTTCAGGTCCCTGTCGGGGAATTGCGGTGCCATTTCTTACCTTCTCGGACATCTCTGGAATGACTGTCCTTCCAGCAGGGCAGCTGTGGATTGCCAACACTTGACTACACAGTGACCTTTTAACGATGGTGTGGGTGCATACCCAATGAGTGGCACATTGTTCCAGGAATGACACGTGGTAAAACGGGTCTAGAATCCAGCAAAGGGGGCACCACGGGCAGGCTAGGTAGATAATGAGACAGGTTTAGCAAGCTATGGCGAGAGACTTTGCTGGGTCTTGTGGAGACAAACCCTTTTAGAAACTTGATGAGACTGACACTTAAGCTAAAATAAAATGTAACATTCAGCCCTTTCAAGGTTTAGAAAATCACTGCTGCAGGTTCATCAGTACCCTGTACACCACCTTTCAGAACTCCTCATTCTCCTCATCAGTGTAGAGATGTTTGTGATGTTGTTTAAAGTAAACGTGTGACACTAATTAGCATTTTCTCTAATTGCAAGAGGCTGTCCATCAGATGATTAGTCATTAGCTGGTCTTTCAAGTGTTTCATTTCTCAGAAGCCTTTTGTGCATTTGGGTCATTGACATTTCCAATAAAATCTCATCTAACTATCTCTAGAAACAGTATCCCTTTTCACAGGGTGAATCCACCCATTAAGAAAAGTAGGTAAATTTTGTTTGAAATGACAGTATTTTTGTTGTCATGACTGAATTAAACTATGAAGGCATAGCTTGAGTCACTTCTTTAATGTTTGGCTGACACAATTAGCTATTTAGGATTAGCTACTAATTAGCTATTTGGGGCATTAGAACAGTCCAGACTTTCCTTGTGCAGCATTGTGTCCAATTTTGGACTGTGCACATTGAGAATGATGCCAGTGTTTGGAGATGATTGGTTGGAATTGTATCGGGATGAGCAGCTTCAGTCATGTAAAGAAACATAAGCTGATGATGTTCTCCTTCATGAAGAGAATTTGAAAAAGTAGTGTTTCCACTGGTGGGAGGGTCAATAATTGGGGAGACAGATTTTAGACAATTGGCAAAAGAACCAGAGGCAAGCTGAGAATTTTTTTGTTTCAGACCATTGACTTGTTGAGGTCAGGAATGCACTGCCTGAAAAGGTGGTGGAAACACATTGGACTTTCAAAGGGTAATTGGGTATAAAATTGGAAACGAAACACTTCCAAGGTTCTGGGGAAAAGAATGCATGTGCATCTAATTGGGTAGCTCTTTCAACGAGCTGGCGCAGGCACGATGGGCTGACTGGACCCCTGTTTTGTAAGATTTTGTGATACATTTTCTCTTTAGTTTTTGCTTCATATTAAGCATGCCTGTGCAAATAGGATCATTCATAATTCTGAAACGTTACTTTAAATCCTTTGTTTCCTTTTAGGAAATATGATGAAGCATTAGACTATCACCACCAGGCTCTTGTCCTCATTCCTCAGAATGCATGCACCTATTCCGCTATCGGTTATGTGCTGAGTCTCATGGGAAATTTTGAGAGTGCCATCAACTATTTTCATACGGTATGACTTTTCTTTGCTTGAATAACCTTAAGATATAAAACACAACCTTGAATTGATCTAGTAGCTGCCAAACTACTTAACCCCTTTCACTGATAGATGTGATTTTTTTTTTTCCCCTACTATTTCACCTGAAGTTATTGGAAGAGGAAGTGACTGGAGCTCTGTGTTTGAGTGTTATCCTTGTCTGATGTTAGTAAAGGGATCTTGCTGTGTAATTATTGGGGATGTTGGGTGAGGGATGGTATGTGGAAAGTGCACTGGGAGAATCTTCGATTTTGGATGTTGACAGACCTTGATTCTGCCTCATCATTGCTGTCTGAACAGATTGAAACTGGGAAGGAAATGGTGGTTAATTTGTCTACATAGACTAAGTGAATCGTACCTCTTTGCAAAACTGCTCTCTTTACAATCGGTCTATTGAGAACATTAGGAAGTACAGGATCCCAAAGACACTACATCTCCCACAGTCTGCTCCCTTCCAAGCCATGCACAATCCTGATTTGAAATTATATCATCGTCCCTTCACTGTCATTGAATCAAAATCTTGAAACTCCCTTCCCAACAGCCCTGTGGACGCGCTTACAGCAGATGGATTGCAGCCATTCAAAAATGTAGTTCACCAGAACTTTCTCAAAGGTAATTAAGGTTGAGCAAAAAGTGCTAGAAGCAGTGTAAACATTGTGAGACAAGAAAATTATAAACCGTTTAATTACTTGTATGTGTAACTATTGCTGCAGCTCTCCCATCGACATTTCCCTACAGTCAGCTAGTCAGGTTAAATCTTTCCATCTCTGCAAGATAACAGTTTATATTGTCTGTGACTTCTCTCTCAAACATATACCTGTATTGATAATTAACACTTCAAACCAGTTAATGACTGGAACTAACCTTTTTTTAAAAGAAAGATAAATGTTTTTTCATTTCCAATGGAGGAACCAGTTTGCATTTGATATTTCTTTTTGTTTTCCAGGCTTTGGGTCTTCGTAGAGATGATACTTTTTCAGTTACAATGCTTGGTCATTGCATAGAGATGTACATTGGGAATGCAGATGCCTATATTGGTAAGCAACTATCCTAAAGCTTTCTGCAGAGTTTTTAAACAATTATTGATGTCTGTTTCATTGTTGATATGGAAGTGCCGGTGTTGGACTGGGGTGGAAGTCACATGACACCAGGTTATAGTCCAACAGGTTTATTTGAAATCACAGGCTTTCAGAGCACAGCTCCTTCATCAGGTGAAGTCCACTTATAATTTCAAATAAACCTTGTTGGATTATAACCTGGTGTCCTGTGACTTCTGACCATGTTTCGTCCTTGGTCTAGATTTGTGTTAGCTTCCAGTCTTTGGTCTCTTGAGCAACAGGGCCTGTTTACATAGTATGAAAATGTTCATCCCTAACAGACCTAGAAAATGTGGTGCAAATTTATAAACTGCATTTTCAACAAGACGGAGAAAATAAGCCACGTTTTCTGTTCTTGGTTAATGGAAGCAGTATTTTCTCTTGGGAGTTCAATGTCCTAAATGATGTCAAGTTCAGAAACAGAGACTTGCATTTAAATGGAGCCTTTCCCAATCCCAGCACTTTCAAAAATGCTTTTGACTTACACATTTTAGAAGTATAGTTGTCATTGTGATGCAGAAAACTCTGCAGGCAGTTTGTGTACAGATTTCACCAGTACCAACATGTTAAGTGACAAGATAGTCTGTTTCAGATGGTGGTTATGGGACAGTAGGGAGAACAGCCCTGGTGCATCTTGAATACTGCCACCTTTGTAAGTAGGTGGAACCTCTAGTTAATGTTGAGTCCAAATTACATTACCACTGACTGCAGCATTCCTTCGATATTGCATTCAGGGTGTGTCAGCCTGGATTACAGGTTCACATCTCTGGATGGGGGTTGAATCTGCACCTCTCTCACTCGCAACACTGGAGCCGCCCCAAGGATGCATCCTCAGCCCCCTACTCTACTCACTGTACACGTACAACTGTGTTACCAAATTCCAAATGAACGCTGTCGACACCACCGTAGCAGGTGTCTAACAACGACAAGTCAAAATACAGAAGGGAGATAGAGGGTTTGGTGACGTGGTGCATTGAGAACAACCCCTCTGCAATCTGATGTGCACAAATGAGACCTGGTAATAATATTTCTATAGAGTCATGGAGTTGTGCAGCATGGAAATAGACCCTTCGGTCCAACTTGTCCGTGCCCACCAGATGTCCTAAATTAATCCAGTCCCATTTGCCAGCATTTGACCCATATCCCTCTGAACCCTTCCTATTCATTTACTCATCCCGATGCCTTTTAAATGTTGTAATCGTATCAGCTTCCACCACTTCCTCTGGCAGCTTATTCCATACATGCACCACCTTCAGTGTGGAAAATATTGCCCTTTAGGTCCCTTTTAAATTTTTCCCCTTTCACCTTAAACCTATGCCCTCTAGTTTTGGACTCCCCCACTCCAGGGAAAAGACCTCAACTATTCACCCTGTCCATGCCCCTCATGATTGAATACACCTCTATAAAAGTCACCCCTCAGCCTCTGACGCTCCAGGGAAAATAACCCCAGTCTATTCAGCCTCTCGCTATAGCTCAAACTCTCCCACCCTGGCCACATCCTTGTAAATGTTTTCTCAAGCCTATCAAATTTCACAACATCCTTCCTATAGCAGGGTGACCGGAATTGCACACAGTATTCCAAAAGAAGCCTAACCAATGTCATGTAAAGCCGCAATGTGTCCTCCCAACTCCCGTACTCAATGCACTGACCAATAAAGGCAAGCGTACCAATTGCCTCCTTCACTATCCTATCTATCTGTGTATCCCCTTTCAATGAACTATGAACCTGCCCTCCAAAAGTGTCTTTGTTCAGCAACCTAAACAAGAGTTGTAGTAGAGGGCTAGAAAATGCAAATGTACAAGGTAAGCGAAAGAGATTTGTAAAGACATCACAGACAACTTTCACTTTGGTTGTGAGTGCTCAATTTGCAATTGGGAAAGTATGAATTAAAAAGGATGACCTACGTGGAACTCTACAGGGTAAATCAAAAAATGCCACAGAGGTCTGTGATACTATAACAAAGAGCCTCTTCAAATTTGTTGAAGAATTAATGCTGGCCAATTTGAATAATGTAGTAGGATCATTCATTTTACAACCATTCTGGCATGTTGGCATCACTGACATTGTCCATCCCCAGTTATCCCAAGAAAACGCTGTGGTGTCTGATACAACAACCAAGTTATTGTTGATCCCTTTGGTGTTGTAGTTGTTTAATATTCAAATTAAGTTTGGTAAAATGATTGAAAGTTAGTTTGATTCCATGCTTTCAAATGGCAGAAGACAGGAATACACAAAACAAACAGGAAAAGACCATTCGGTCCATAGTGCTTATACTGGCTCTTTTAAAGAGCCACTCAAACTGCATGTGTTTTTATTGACATGCCTCCAAAGGAAAATGTTCTGTTCATTGCAGGGACTGAGTTAAAGGAGAAATTGGGTTGCTACGAGCTTGACATGTCTACAATGAAGGCACCAGTGATCAAGAAAATGATTTGCCCCTCTTGGGAGGAGAGGGATTGTGATACTGAGTTGGAACAGCAGCCCCTCGAGGAGAGTGGCATCATGGCCTTGGATGCATCACCCCAGCAGAGCAAGTTAACAAATACCGAGGCTCATCATGAAGATACCCCACTTTTCACAGAAATGGAAATGAATGAAAGTGACATGATATTAGAGGCATCCTTGTCTGACCACAGCACTTGAGTGCCTTCTGACGGCAAATTTGGGAACCTTCCTCATCTCCTTGGCAAGTTTATTAATCTGAGTGGTGCGAATGTTCTGTGATGTCTGCGGCTGATTTAGAACTAACAGCAACGCTGGTGGAACTGGGCCCATTCAGCAGACAGTGAGCTACCCCTTTCACAACAATATTTCCACAGCAATAAGCGAATGAATGGGGTGGCTATTTAACGATGTAATGTTCTCATGGTGACCTGCAGAGTAAAAGGTGATCATGATATTTTGAAATATTGCCACCTGTCATTTCATTGTATTAAAATCTCTAAACTTGGTCTTTATGTTGTTCCATCTTTGTGCTGTTTATTATTGTAGTGAGAGCCAAATTCCGATTGTTAATATTTCTGTAGTCAAGATATTCGGCATGCATTTATGATTCAGACCATCATCTCTGACCTCTGCCACACTGTATCACCAGTGTTTTCCAGACTTCACTGCAGCTTCTTAAAATATCAATAGGTTTAAACAGCTGCTTGCCAGTATTTCTCAATATGTCTAGGGTCAGTTAGCTCAGTTGGCTGGACAGCTGTTTTGTGATGCCTGGGTTCAAATCCCACACCAGCTGAGGTTACCATGGAGTACTCCCCACCTCCTCCATGCCTGAGGCATGATGACTCTCAGGTTAAACCAACACCAGTTGTGTCTCTCTAATGAGAGAGCAGCCCGATTGTCTGGTAACAGTATGGCAACTTTACCTTTTATTAGTTGAAGTGATAATTAAATATATCTCAAGCCTGCTGCATTTTCATATGCCAGTATTTCTAAGACTTACACACAAAAGGACAGTTATCAACCACTTGTCCTCCAACATCCATGTCCCTGTACACCCCAAAGAAACTCAAAGAAATTACATTACAATATTTGGCACATAGAGGTTTTGTTACAGGCTCTGTTCCCCTTTCCTAGTCTTTTCTTCTTATCTTTATATATTTAATGTGCATTCCAGTCTTTTGCAGAACCTTATTTCAGTAACCAGATGGCTTTCATTAAGTTCATCTGTTTTTGAAAATGTTCACTAAATGGCGGAGTAACAGTAGTGCATGTGTGATCAACAACATATCTCTGGGTTTAATTCAAACACATGATGACTTATCCAGCATCCAAACATTGAAAGTCAAGCCATTGACACAGTACTCCAGGAATACACATTACACTTTGAGGTAATGATCTTGCTTCAGTTGAAGAGGAGACATGACTCACTTTCCTGGTTTGTCATTTCTGAGGTCAGCCTGATTGTGTTTTTGATTCAAAAGCCTGGAACTCTCTCCATAACATCACTGTGGATGGGGCATACATGTCAGCTTAATCAGCAACATGCACATCCCACAAACAAAACAGAAACTGGGAGGGGATGGTTGCCTGCTGGTGTAAAGAATTGGCTCTCTGTCTCAGGCAAATAGCCAGCCTAGGACACTGTTCCTACTCCTTGATACAAGCAGACATGCCCCACATCACTTAATGTATACTAAACCGTAGTTAAACTTCCCTTACAGCAACTGGAATTTATGTAAACAACTCTAACAAGGTGCTTCTCTGGGATGGAGTCAGATCCAATTTGTTACTGAGTAGCGTGAAGAAATACTAGAATACTACAACCTAAAGCTACGCCAAAAAGGTAGTTTTCAAGGCGAATCATAGGAACAGGAGTAACCCATTCAGCCCCTCGAGCTGGTCTGCCACTCATTATGATCATGACTGATCTGTGGCATAACTCTATATACCAACCTTGGGCCCATATCTCTTGATACCCTTGCTAAGTAAAAATTTATCTATCTCAGATTTAAATTTAACAATTGAATAGGCATCGGCCATCATTTGAGGAAGAGAGTTACAAACTTGCACTGCTCTTTCTACATGTAGAAGTGCTTTCTAACATCTTTTTGAATGGCCTGGCTCTAATTCTTACACTCTGCCCCCAGTTCTAAAGGAGAAAGTGATTGGCATAGAGGTTTAGGAAAGATATTCCAAAATTTAGGACCCAGGCAGCAGAAGGTACAGACACCGATGACAGTCCAAAAAAAGAAGGGGATTCCTTTTGGACATTTCAGCCTGTGACAAGTGGAGAAAATATTAGCCAATTTGCCCATCTTATCCTATCCTTCCCAATGGCACAGCTAAGCTGCAAGAAGTGGTGTGTTCAGTTGTAAAGGAGGTGTAACATTGCTTTTAAAAAAAAAGTGTGGGTGTCACTGGCATTTCTTTGCCAGCCCCATTGCTGTTGAGAAAGTGGTGGTCAGCTGCTTCCTTGAACCAGCGCAGTCTATGCAGGGAAGGTATTCTGTCAGTAACAGTGGAGGAGTAAGACATTTTCAAATCAGTTTAGTGTGTGACTTGGAGGGGAATTTGCAGTTGGTGGTGTTCCCTTGCATCTGCTGTCCTTGTCTTCCTGGATGGTGGAAATCACTGCTTTGGAGATGCTGTTGGAAAATCTAGCCTTCTTCCACAGGGTCTGAGAGGAGAAAGTATTCATTCCCCCATTAATTTTCTAAAATCTCAAAATGACCCTATGAGCTGTAGCTGTGGTGGGATTATAGGCCCTAAGGAAGACCCAGATAAATGAGAGAATGGAGGTCTTAATGTGTGAACATTAAACCTGCCACCAATAATACCGCAAAAAGTTTGTGTTCCACTTGAACCACATATGGTTCAGTGTAAACAATAAATTATTTATGTGAGCATCAAGCAGAAATATGTTTAAAAAGTTTAATGTGGCAAGACTTTACTATTTTATCAAAGTTTAAATCTCTAAACCATGAATGCATTACACTCACAAACAAAAACAGAAATTACTGGATAAAGTCAGCAGATCTGACAGCATCTGTGGAGAGAAAGCAGAATTAATGTTTCAGGTCTTCTTCAGAACTTATTTTAAGTAGGAAAAGGTTAATGAAGAAAGATTAGAACAGAAATCCTGTCCGAGAGAGGAGCAGAACTTCTTCAAAAGCAATTTCTGTTCAGGTTCTGATTTCCAGCATCTGCAGTTCTAAATTTTTTTAAAATGAGATTGACATTGTCTAACATTTCCTGTTATCGTTTAACTGGAACTTTTTGACTCAGCAATTTTTAACAAGCTTGGAATTGGTAAACGTTTGTTTACTGTTTGAAGACAGGAGGAGGAAACAGCTCGAAATAAATGCTAGTGGAGAAATAGTATGCTCGTAATGACCACAGTTGTCAAGTGAACAAAGAAGCCTGGAGGATATGCTGTGTTTCTATCGACGTGTAATATTTTTGTTCATTTTCTTTCCAACCCATCTCACCCTCTACCTCCTCTGGATTCAGGGGAAAATTCTGCTGTAGATGCAGATGAGCTCCAACAGTAACAAAAAAAAAATAGCTGGAGAAACTCAGCAGATCTGTCAGCATCCGTAGAGCAACAACAGAGTCAACACTTCAGGTCCAATGACCTTTCTTCATAACATGACAGTGTTTAATATCATTCATCTTTACACAAAGCATGTGCTATAGGATTTAATTTCCAATTTTTTTGTTGAATGTTAGAGCAGGAGCCATGTGACTAAAGTGCGGTATCACTGACCATTTGGTCCTTTAGTCCAGCTGATCTAAAACTAAATCCCTGACTACCTGTGAAACTTGAGATCTTGTGAGGACCTGTGGGTTTTATGTGGCTATCATGAATATTTGCAACTTGACATTTTCTCATTAGAGTAAATGTTAGCTCTTTTGTAGTCCAAGGTCAGCTTCAAAACAATAATTGCTACCTCTTCTTTACACCGATAAAACCTTTAGTCCTCTCAGGACCGTGACTTGAAAGGAATTTGGGGATTTACATACATGTATTAATCAATTAAAACCTTCTAACTGATTAAAGATTTAACAGCATCTTAGGTTTGTTTAGTACATCCTCATCAATGGTGTGAAGCTTTGATCTTTTACTTATAAATTCTGTGTCTGATACAACCTCTCTCACTAACACCTGAAGAAGGACTGAGGCTCTGAAAGCTTTTGTTTTCAAATAAACCTGTTGGACTATAACCTGGTGTCATGTGATTTCTGACCTTGTCCACCCCAGTCCAACACCAGCACCTCCAGATCAGAGGAGATGGTGGAAGCAGACACGAGCAGCATTCAAGAAACATCTTGATGAATACACGAATAGAAAGGGAATAGAGGGATACGGATCCTGTAAGTGAAGGCAGTTTTAGTATGGAAGGGCAAAATGAGTTAGCGTAGGCATGAAGGGCCGAAGGGCCTGTTCCCTTGATATTGTTATTTATTCTTTGTTCTTTGTTCTAATTTCTTCATTGGGTCGAACTGGTCCTCAGGATTTCCTGTTTTATTTGTGATCCTGGTTTCAGTTACATTTACAATGTAGGGGGTTGTATTTTCATAGAATCATTCAGAAGGATGCCAATTGACCGACCGACCGCCCTGCGCCACCTCTTTCAATGATCTATTCAATTAATCCGACTCCCTAATAAGCAAAATACTGCGGATGCTGGAAATCTGAAATAAATACAAAGTGCTGGAGAAGCTTAAAACTCAGCAGGTCTGGCAGGTGTGGAGAGAAACAGTTAGTGTATTGAGTACAATGACTTCTTAAGAAGGGTCATATCGGATTCAAAATGTGAACCCTGTCCTTCTCTCCAGAGATGCTGCCTGATCTGCTGAATGTTAAGCTTCTCCATCACTTTGTTTCTAATCCCCTCCCTAATGTTTTCCCCATAGCCACTGCATTTTATTCCCTCTGCAAATATTTATCCATTGTCTTTTTGAAACTTACTATTGAATCTGCTTTCACTACCTTTTCAGGCAGAGGGCTCCAGAACTTTGTGGGACAGTGGCTTAAGTAGCAATGTTTGAACTCATCATTATTTGAAGGTATGATTTGGTCAAACTCATCCTGGTCTTAAGATAGTCTTAAGACCACAATTAAACTTCCCTCCTTTGCATTAATATATCCCTAGAAAACTGTAAATGCTCAAAGTTCTCAATTAAAGATGCCTAATACCCTGTCCTAACTTCACATGATTTTATAGAGTTGTACAGCACAGAAATAGAGCCTTTGGTCCAACTTGCCCATGACAACCAGATAGCCTAAATTAATCAAGTCCCATTTGCCAGCATTTGACCCATATCCCTGTAAACTCTTCCTATTCATATACCCATCAAAATGCCTTTTAAATGTTGTAATTGTACCTGCCTCCACCACTTCCTCTGGCAGCTCATTCCATATACGCACCACTGTCAGCGTGAAAAAGTTTCCCCTTAGGTCTTTTTAAAATCTTTCCCTTCTCACCTTAAACCTATGCCA